CACTGCGAAGAAACTCAAAGCATTTCTCACACACAAGACTATGCCTGTGGAGCTGGAGTTATGAAAACTCATGACTCATTGAAGCAGCATCTCAGTAGGAAGACTTCAAAGCCCAACTCAGTTGTAGCTACAGCTTGGAGGTACATTTCCAGAAAATGACTCTAATGGGTTGTCCTAATCAGCGTGGTTGTCAGATGCCTTGGCAAGAGGAGAAATCATAAAATCGAAAGCAGGAACGGAGAAAGTGATATCAGGAGATCACCATAGAGAAGAAAGGCATAATAGAAACACAGAATACATAATTTTATCTCACATGCGTCAGGTTCATATGGCTTCGCTATGGGCCACGTACAAGAGCATATCTGTAGTTCTATTAAAGGCTCATAATGCTACAGTGGTTTTATCAGTAGTTTGGAATGAAAGAGATAAAAGTCTCGATTCCCCATATGAGCATTAATTAATTAATTCTTAATCACCTTTCTCTTACATTTTTGGTAGGACAGAAATTTCACTGGCAGTATGACTGCTATAATATACCATAGGTATCCATCATGGTGCCCTTCAGATACTGTGCACAACTCCCATCATCCCTGACCCCAGGCCATGCTGCTATTTGAGACTGATGGGAACTGTAGTCCCAAATGTCTGGAGAGAATCTTTTTGACTGCCCCTGTACATGGATGACCACAACAACTTGAAACTTCCTATCTGTATATGATTTCTATTTTTTAAAAAAATGATATTTATTACTTTTTCAAAATTTCCAACACAGCAACAAACACAAAGGAAAAAAGAAAGAAAAAACAATACAAATATCAAATCAAGCAAAGACAAACAAAAACAATTTAAAAACACCTCAAACATTTTCAATATCTTATAATTCATTCACTTATTTCCAGCGACTTCCTCACACCTCCCTTTTTGTATTCTACTTCTATTATTTGTTTCAGCAATTCCTTTCCATCTTACTCTGTTTTCTGTTCTATAATTATCTTAACACATTTCTTTAATTTTCTATTAATCTATTTATACTTAATTCCTTATGACATTTCAACTAAAGCCATGTAATTTCATTCCAACATTTTTCTAACAATCTTTAAATTTACAGTATTTCTATAAATAATCTTTAAACTTTTTCCAATCTTCTTCCACCGACTCTTCACCCTGGTCTCGGATCTTGCCAGTCATTTCCGCTAATTCCCTATAGTCCATCTACTTTGTCTGCCATTATCCAACACTTCGGTGTTTTCAAGAAGCAACCATTCTCTCAACCAGCAAAAGACAGATGATTCACAATGAAGTTTAAAGGTCTGGCAAGGCAGGTCCACCTCCTTCTTTAGCATCAATATCTTAAGCTTAACTCGAGGCTTCCTGCCCTGCCAAACAACTCTAGGAGCATCTGTATATGATTTCTAGGCAGCATATTTGCACTGATTATAAGGACCCAGTCACAAAAATTATTGTCAAAATTACCATTCTTAAAATTGCATTGACTTTACGGGGAATTGTTCGCATTTTTCTTTAGCAGATAATAGTCCTCCCTGTCTGTCCTTCATGCGTAAACCATCTGCCTGTTATCTTTTGGCACCTTCCATATATATTCCGATAGAAAGCCATCTGCTTCTCTCCTTTAAACTTCTGTGCGCGCGCACACACTCTTATCTTCTTTACAAATCTTTGCATATGTCAACATTTTAATTACACAGTGGCATATTACAATGTCATTGACTATGGGGGGTTCTTCCAACAATACAGTCGAGGAAAGTTTAGCAAGAGTTGACAGTGAAATTTTATGGCTCTTTGATATATTGTGTTCATGAAATTTACAACAACTTCGTCAACAGAAGGAGCCAGATGATGCATGAGTCAATAATTGTGCTAAGTGATTGATGTAGACATAATTCCAAAAGCACTGTGGCTTTATTAAAATACAATAACAATATTAATTTATATGAAAATTTGGCTCAGCCAACTGCTATTTCATTTAAATTTTATATCATCTAACAATATGATCTTCCTGTTGTCAGCCTAAACAAAGGGATAGTTTATTCCTCGGCCGCCAGAACCGTATGTATGGTTATATGCAAAACATAGTTAGTAATATATAATAAACATATGTGGTAATATGTAATAAACATAGTAAGTAATATATAATAAACATATGTGGTAATATGTAATAAACATAGTAGTAATATCTAATAAACATATGTGGGTGGGTGTACACTGTATATACCTTATAAGAAAATGGACCGTGGGCTCTATCTCAGCATTACAACTAGAAATAAACATTTATAACAGCAAGTGGGGAAAGTTACAAAATTCACACATTTTTTTATCCCCATGGGGGGGGAAACACCCGAAACCAAGAACCTCTGGCTCATTGCAGCTTTTAAACACACACACTGCACAAAGCAACCAAGTAAATGACCCATTGCTAGATCTACTATGGGATCAGAAATATTTAGAGTACTATGATGATCCATTAAACCAGATTTATTTCAATGTACAGTGGTACCTCTGAAAGGAACGCAACCCACATCTGCGCACGCGCAAGTCACAATTCGCCGCTTCTGCGCATGATGTCATTTTGCGCTTCTGCGCATGCACGAGCTGCGAAACCCGGAAGTAACCCTTTCCGGTACTTCCGGGTCGCAGGACTCAACCTGAAAAGACGCAACCTGAACCGAACATAACAAGAGGTATGACTGTACTTAAGAACAGGTTTAACGTTGAAATCCTAAACTCATTTACTAGTAACAAAGAGGCAGCATCTTTTTCTTTTAGTACCACTGTAGTGGAATGTTCTCCCTGCTGTAATGCAAGAGTTACATCTGTATTGACATTCCACGGGCCAAACAGAGGCACATCTGTTTGAATAAACATCCCCCTGATCTGTTGACTAGAACCTCCTGCCCTGATGATTTTATTTGTTGCTTTACTTGTTATAATTGTTGTGCTTGCTTTTAATTGGACGACCGAAAGAGGAACTGTTCAACACCTACTTTGTCTCTGTCCAGGCTGGTGCCCCAGGGATGTCACTTTGGTGCTGCTGACAGAGTGGTTGGACTTCACCCCCAGAGGCACACTCCACTGTCTTTTGAGACAGACGGATGCCAACAACAAAATTCCTCTGCAAAGAGCACAGAAAAGATTGCCACTGTCCAACTAGGATACAATTCCAAAGCCCCGAGCAAGCCCTGAGCTCAAATGCTCTGTCTGGCTATAATACTCTATTTTTCCAGACTGCTGTCTCCATAGTGCACTCTGATGTGTAAGTTTTTACAGAGCAAAGTCTGTGAGCCTTTGATGCTTGTCATTCAGAAGGGCAACAGAACTATACCGAGAAAACTACAGTAAATGTTTTTCACAAAAAAAGTTTTGTTTTCTTCTTCTTCTTTGGTGATCGCTCGTAGCCAAGTAAGATTGTCTTCCATAAACACGGTTTTAACAATGAGTCCGTAAGTGACTGTAGAGGCCAATTCTGGATCCACACGTCCTTCCACAATGGGGACATTGGTTTCCAGGCGGAAGTTAATCACAGTGTTGATTTGCCAAGTGTGCCTTCCTTTTAGCACGTTTCTTCCTTGCGTCCTGAGTTAGAGTGTCTTCAAAACCCATGACACCTTTGCTAAAGGCTGTTCTCCAATTGGAGCACTTGCAGGCAAGTGTTTCCCAGTTGTTAGTGTTTATACTACACTTTTTTTAGATTTGCCTTGAAACAGTCTTTAAACCTCTTTTGTGGACCACCAGCATTACACTTTCCATTTTTAAGTTCGGAATAGAGTAGTTGCTTTGGAAGACGATCATCAGGCATCCGCACAACATGACCAGTCCAATGATGTTGAAGAATCATCTTTGCTTCGTCCAGTACACTGGTATTAGTTTGCCTGTCTTCCCAAGTGATGTGTAAAATTTATTGGAGACACCATTGATGGAATCTTTCAAGGAAGCATAGACTGTGAGTGAACCCCACTCCACCCCATTTAACGAAGGATATTCTAGGCTAAATATAATCCTAGTACAGTCATACCTCTGGATGAATATGCTTCGGGTTAGGCAAATTCGGGTTGTGCTCTGCGGCAACCCAGAAGTAACGGAGCCCGCTACTTCCGGGTTTCGCCGCGCACGCATGCGCAGACCGTCAAACATGACATCACGTGCATGCGCAGAAGCGCTGAAATGTGACCCACGAGGTACCACTGTAATACTTTGTCTTATTTAATTGGATAATGTACCTTTACTTGTGATATATTTTATTCATCCACCATGATGTATATTTTTGTGGAAGCTGGTTCTCTTATACCTTCCCTTGGCATAAATGTGTTTACAACTGGATGCAATGTTTCTTTGGTATTATTTATCCCCCCCCCTTTATCTTATTTGATGAAACATGTATGTTGCATATGTCTTGATGAAATTAATCTCCTTGTGTCCTTCAATCCCATTCTTTACTGTAATGAAAAACTTTAATAAAAATATTGGGTTTGTGCACCTCTTTTCTAAAAGATGAAAAGTTTTGAGAAACTGGAGGGCGGGTTTCAGCAGAGCAATAAGGCTGTGATTCTGAAAGACTCCTGAATAGGTCCAGGGCTGCTGTTCCTTAATTGTATTTTGGAGGCTTAAAACCCAAAGAATATTGTGAGAAGGTTTACTTTAGCAGAGTTAAACAATCCCCTTTATAAGTTTATGCAGTGATCAGCTTGTTGCTGACTCGTCTGAGTTCTACTAATAAAGATGCCTTCCTGGTTAAAAATCCCTTTGAATCCCTCTTAAAGAATACACACAAGAATCTGATTCATGTTAATATAAAACTATTTTACTCTCAGATTCATTCAGGTTTACAGAACTGTACTTGAAGGCAGGCTTAGGTTACATAACAAGCAAATAAACTTCCCCAGAGGGAAGTTGGTCCTGAGGTGACAGCAACTGAGCAGTTATCTTTCAAAAAACTACCAGCAACCAACAAACTGGTTGTCACAGCAACCGGTTAGAACATGGAGGCCGTTAGTCCTCTGTCGGAATGTTGTACTTGACTGCACCTTTACATCCCGCAAATATTTAGCTGTAGAACATAATATAGCTGCTATATTGATTTATATGCAACTTCTATGATCCATCATGAGCCTTGAAAAGACAGTAGCTTCACCTTTTAAACCAATACGCAAATACTTCTAAAGAAACTATTAGAGATTACCATCCACACACTTCTGCACCAGAAACTGGTGGTTAGGTAAAACCTCTTAAACTGTTTTAGCATAGCTTTCCTTTCTCTCTCTCTCACAGAAGTAGTGAACAATGACCAAGTTATTTTAAAGATGACTCACCAAACTGTGAAGTCTCGGTCAAAAGATATTATTCCCAGACTGGGAACAAGCATTAAGATTGCAAAAGAAATATTTTGACTGTTATCATAAACAGTACGCTGTCAAACAAAAGTCTTATCTCCAGCACGTTGTAAATCACAGCAACAGTCCTTCACAGGCAGCACTCTTCTGTCAGACATCTGCTCTCAGGCGTCTACAAACACGAAGCCAATTGGTCTTCTTTTTATTAGCACTTCCATCTGACACTAATAAAGGTCAAAGTGCCATTCCAAAATTTAAAGGGGGGGGGAACACCTCTGGAACCTTCTAGAAACCTTTTAGTTGTTTCTTTGCAGAATGATTCCCTAACAAACGCACAGCAGTTGAACAACCTGAGCAATAAAGCAACCTCCTTGTGTTAGCTCATAATGAGATGTGAGCAAACAGACATCCCAAATGGAAACATAATGCACCTCAGTTTCTAAGGTACAGCCTAACCTCTCATCAACCTGGGAAATTATCTGCTTACAAACACAGGCCAGTCAACTGAAAGATGGAGAGGATGTACACCCCATCCTATTCTCCTGAGAGACATTGAAACAAAATTATTTGAACTTCGGACCAATAATTGTAACCAATTGTAACCAATTTGGACCAATGATGGTAACTTTTGGATCTGCTTTTCCTTCAGCAGGGGGAGACTATCTGCAACTATGAACAGGGAAACCTACCTTATGCTTGTAGGAGATAGTGTTAATACATTCAAGGAAAGGTCATCCTTACCCACTTTGCGACCTTAATAAAATTGACAAATATAATAATTTCTATCTAGTCCGGCACACCTTTGCTTGACAGAGGGAATCTGGCCAGTGCCACCCATGCTCTGGTAAATACCAGGCTGAACTATTTTAATGTGCTCTATATGGGACAGCCCTTGAAGACTATCTGAAGTTTACAACTAGTGCAAAAAGTGGTGGTAAATGTATTGGGGGGGACTAGAATGTTTTGTTGTTGATTGATTGGGAGCTAGTACACATTAGACAGGTGTCTAGATTTTGTGCTAAATAAGAGCATAATATGAGCCTGCTGCATCAGGGCAATGGTCTACCTAGTCCATCATCCTGCTCTTACAGTGGCCAACCAGATACCTGTAGGAAACCTGCAAGCAAGACTTTAGCACAAGAGCACTCTCTCTTTCTGTGTTTTCCAGCAACTGGTATTCAAAAGCATACTGCCTTATTTTTTTTGCCTCAACCTGCATCACTTTGCACTGGTTTACATTGTTCCACCCTTACACTCACTTTGGAAAGGTCCTTTTGGAGTTCTTCACAATCCCTTTTTGTTTTAATGGCCCTGAACAATTTTGTATCGTCAGCAAACCTGACCTGTTGATTTTGATGGGAACAACCCAAAGGGATTTGCTTTCCTTCCAGTGCTTTCATTTGTGGGCACCAATTTAGTGACATTAGATAGGTGCCCGTTGGTTGTACTACACAGAGAGCAAGGATTCTAGTAGCAGCAGTAATAGTTCCGGTGATTATGCAACAAATCCTTAGCTTGTGTACAGTTTCAGTATAGATGCTGCACATATTTTAAAGACTGTAGTTTATACTGCTTTTCGAAAGACATGCCACAAACTATATTGCTGCAATACATCTCCCTTCAGTGTCTGGTAAAGCTTGATTCCAGACGATAAAAGAAGTCAAGGAGAAGTACCAGTACAGGCTAAACTGAAAGAAGGAAAGAGATGAAAGGCAGGATAAACTCCAGCTTTTTCAAGGGAAAAGGGAAAAAGTCAGCTAAGTTCATCTCTCTGAGAGTGGCACGTAAGTCAAATGCAGGGTTCCACTCCAGGCAAAAGGATGATAAATTCACCAACATCCCTGAGATGGGGGAAAAGATGGATCAATGGGAATTATGTTACATGATAAGAAACTGGCTGTGTGCTGAGTGAATGAATAAAGAAATATATCATGTTTAAATAAGAAAAGCAGGGAAGATGACAAGAGGCAGGAGCATCACTCTGAGCAAAATTTATAGCTGGGAAAGCTGAGAAACAGCCCAGAGAATGCTAACAAATTGTCTTACACAAATGCGGCAAGATCTTTTACAAAGTGTTTTCCAAGCTATACTGTGAGGATGGGAGCAAATTGGAAGTAGGACAAAATGGGCATGTCATTAGACTTAACAGGAAAAAAACATTCTCTGGTTCACTGACTGTTTGGGGATGGAGGAGAAATTTGTTCAGGCCACATTTTAAAGAAAACTGACCTAATTTACAGATCCTGGACATCTATGCAGAACAGCCATCTGTCAGTTTACTCACTCCTCAAAAAAACTGTAACGCAGCTTTGGTTTTAGATCTGGGCCTACATACACAAAATGCATATTTCACATGGAAAATGTGTACAAAAATGTATTTTATGAGAAAAGGCAAGGGAAAGAAGACAATGTCTTAGGGAAAGAGTGCATATGAAAAATGCATACGGTTTAAATGCAAAATGTTCATGTATTTTTATTCTCTAAAAGGGGAGTGGATTAAAGCTACGACTGAAGGCATAAGAGACTGACACAGAATGGACACTGACTGGTCTGTCCATTCTTAACATTGTTTCCATTTATTCAACCCTCATACTTGGATCAGGAGGAGGAAGGGCTAGGGAGGAGAAGTTACCAGAAGTGACAATGGCAAGGGACACCAGCAGAGAGAGACAGGCAGAGACAGGTCTGGCAAAGGTGGGATAGGGAGTTCAGACATACTGAAATGTTCACTTGTTTATTTGCTTCCACCTGGCCTGCCAACTCCTCTCTTCCTGTCGCACACCTGGTGATGGAAGTGAGTAGGAATCTGAGAGCTGGTCAGGAACCCAGAAAATGCAGGTGGCTCAACTGTCTGCATCCAATCTCCTTGAGATTGCTAGTGGTACTTGGAAGGAGGAATACCTGGAAGGAGGTATTCTTGCTCCTCCTGCAAAGAAACCATAGGCTCCAAGTCAAAGCAGAGCCGAAACAGGACATCCTGTGCAGTTTGGCCCTTTGGGTCATTGGCACTAGGGACAGCAACAACTGTAACTAGGGTCCCCAATGCCTCCGGTTTCCATTTTAAAAAATCACCATTTATAAAAATGTGGAAAGGCAGCATTGTCTTACTCTAATTTGGTGATAAATTAGGAGCCAAACCTAACAAATGCATTTTATTGGAAGTCCCAGAGTTGTATTGATGATAGACAGATTCTCAGACCATAGAAATACAATTAGTTGAGGAGGATCTGTATGATGTCATTTCCTCTCCTCTCCAGAAGAGGAAGGAGCATAGTACTTCCTGTCCCCCACCCCATCTTCCTTTGACCAGCGTTGGATGCAGACATGCCTCTGCTTGCTCCAGCTCACACAGAGGCCTGATGCTGGTTACACTGTAAACATAAGTATTTTGCCTGCGTAGTTTTTACTGCTACTGTTGCTGTGAGCCAATGCATGTTATAAAGTTTGTAAATATAACTGTAAACCTAATTCCCAAGTAGTTGCCTGATTCTTTGTTAAGCAGGGTAAGAAAGGGAGAGCCAGCTTACTTCATAGCTGGACTTGCTCATTCAGCCTTTATTGGACTTGCTCATGACAAGGTTTTACAGCATAATTCCTATGAATTTAATTTTGTTGTCAAGAGTGGGATTTTAAACTCTTTTCAGCCCACACACATAAGCTCCTAGGGGGAGAAATTGCAATTGATATATCCCCTCTTACCTGTTAAAACTTATCCCACAAATTTTGCTTAACTAAAATTGCGGTGGCTACACTGCACCATCACATTTCTTCCTGTTATTACTGATGATTCAGAGTTTTTTTTACACAGCCTTACCTGAGAGTGGGACTCCTCCTGTCTGAATATCAAAGCAGATGGCAGCAGCAGCAACAGGGGAAAAGTATTGAATGGGGACATTTGTGTGCAACCTTTCCCCCACCAGCCCTTACTATGAAGATGAAAAAGAAAATCACTTAAAATCTTTAGACTCAGCAATAATATAAACATGCATACTTGGGCTGCATCATGCCATTAAAACTATCTGATGGGATTGTGCTCTTGTTTATTCCTTCGTTCATTCTCCACTGAGATTCTTATACCGAACAAATACTTCCTCAGGGAAGATGGGGAGGCCCACTAACGTGAAAAATGGAGAATGGCATCTTTTATTTAAGCTGACAAATTCCATTTTATTATTCAGGGTCCGTAACCACCTCTGTTCCGACATGGAAGAGAACTTTGAGTGATCAGGTGTGAGAGCAATTCAAACACAAGTCTGAGACACTCCCAACGATCCGCTGGAAGGCGGTGAAATTTCAGTCTAGCCAGTAGAAGATACAAAAAAACAGAAAAGGGAGATGGAGATAGACAAATTGAGCTAAATGAATACTGAAATCATTTATGGCAGCAAGACAGCCAGGCATGTAGTGGCAAATATTTAACAAATAAAACAAATTACTAAAAGGAGGAAGCCTGTTATTGCTCGGCTTGCACCAAAGAGTCATCGCTGTTTGGAAGGAAAGTGAAAGAGGCAACTAAAATTAGGCACCTGAGTAACTCTGGAAACCAATTGCTGTGGGTGGGACTAGTTACCTGCCGTGCCTAGTATTGGACAGTGCTGTAGTTTCTTGCTATGTTTTGCAAGCAAAATGCCTGACAAGTAGTAGTACCGAAACAAACACAAACGAACAAACCTGTAGGAAACAATAGGTCATAGCCACTGCCATTGTTGATGGGTTGGGTTGCATACAAGAAATCACAGGGAAATTTCTCCCCCTGAGAATATTGAGCAAAATAGATGCCTCCCCTCCAATAGCACTGTCTGAAAATGTATGTATTCATTTACTAAAGGTGCATACCATACCTCACCCCAAAGGAGTCCAGGAATCTTCGGTGCTGCATCCTTGAAGATGGTACAGCAAAGAGGCATTTCCCCCTGATCCCACCTGCCAGCCTGGCTTGTGCCAGAGGCAGGGTTGTGGATGTGGTAGTAGCTATGCCACTCCATCGAGCCCTGCCACTGCTGGCCAAGATTTTGGACTCCAACCTTACATTGGGCTATGCCTTGATGAGAGATTGATTCTCTGTCCTGATGCCTCTCATGATCTGCAGTTGTCATGCCATGTTAACAAAGAGAATTGTGATATTTTGCCAGGGAGATATAGGCCACTTTAAACCATTAGTGGTTTGGCTTGGGAAAGGACCATAGCTCGCTGGGAAAGCTCCTGAGTGACATGCACAGGGTCCCAGGTTCAAGCTCCCTTTAAAAATCATCAGGTAGGAAATGATGTGAAAAACCTTTGCCTGGGAACCAGAATAGATTATACTGGGCTACATGGAAAAATAGGTATTAGGTTTTCCCCCCTATATGTTGCAGTGTCAGACACTTACCAGGATGAAGGAATGCAACTGTATTATTTTTCCAGTCTCTTGGGTGAGCCAAATGCTCCCAATCACCAGCCAGGATACTTCCTATAGCAGTAACAGAAATGGGGAACAAGGAATGCGGCATGCATATTTATCTGCAGAATATAGACATCCAGAAAGAGGACCCCTCTCACTATATTCTAGTTCAGGTTGTGTGACGTTCATACCTAGGATTAATTTGTTAAAAAGAAGAAGTAATCCCTAAAATCATTAAAATGGTTCTGTCCTATTGTTCATGTCAAGCATAATAATTATGGGACTAACACCTCTTATAAGCTCTAAATCTAGTTACAGCCTTTGAATATTGTCATACAATTTAGTGGATTAAAGAACAATCTCTGGTGTTATTTGATATGATCAGCTTCATTGAATCCAGGTACTTAAAAGGTAGGTGAAGGGGAAAGGAACTTCATTTTTTTTTTAATGTCTCAAAAGAAATTCATTTGATCCTTTGCTCTGGAAGATAAATTAGTTTGTACTTCAGTGTAATATATGAGTGATTCTTGCATCATTTTACTCAGGTAGACACATCAGATTCTTTTATAAGGTACACATTTGCAGTTTACATTCACTTCAGCCCGCAGGAAAAATGAAATTCACACATGCCATTTCAGTTCTCCTTTAAGCTCAAGTTATATTTTCATTTTTATGAAAATGTTTTTCAGTGGTAGGGGGGAACATAGTTTGAGAATGCCCAGTACAGTCGGACTCTATGCAGGGGCAATTGCCAGCACCACTTGGACGTGGTGGTAAGATTTATTTACTTACTTAAGTCATTATCCATCCCTTTGTAAGCATTTCACAATTACAATGAGTCAGAGAGAATAGCCAACAAATGTTGTACTCCTTGGGAGGGTGGCTTGGGGCCACTGGATGAAACATTTACAATGGAATTCTATGCGTGTTGTTCTGAAGTTATGTCTCATTGTATTCAGTGGAGCTTAATCCCTAGTACTGTAAATGAATTTAGGGTTACAGCCTAAAATGACTAAAAATAAATTATCAAGACCAGAAAAACAGGCTAATATATTAACAAAAGAGGAGCTAAAGTCACCTGCTACATCTGTCATATTCTTTTTAAAAAACCATTGTATTTCTTAAGTCACTATTAGTCTAGTTAGACTGGGTTACCTAGACAGAAAATTCCACACAGAAGCACCACCATGGAGACAGCCTTCCTCTTATTGCTGTCTGTCTCTCTTCAGAATAAAGAACCAAACCTCTTCTGAAGACATTAAATCATGTGTTGGGAGAACATATAGAGGATGAGGTGCCCTTTCAGTTGTCTTGTACCAAAATTGTTCAGGGTTTTGAGATTGAATCTGACAGCCAGAATTGGGCTGAGAAATCCCTGGAGGTCAGCAGAGCTCTATAAACACGAGTGTTTAACATGCTCCCTGGGGTCAGATCCCATTACTAATCTTGCTGCTGCCTTCTAGATCAACTGAAGACTATGAGCACTTTTGAAGTGACACCAGCATAAATCACCACTTTTTCTTTTTTTAAAAAAATTCTACTTCGTCAATTGTTTCAAAAAGCTTCTCCGTCGTTGGAGGTTCTGAGTACTACAGCTGGAAGCTGTAGGAGGGGAGAATGCTTAGATCCTGCTTGCTGTTTTTTTCCCACAGGCATCTGATTGGCCACTGTGAGAACAGCATGCTAGGCTAGATGGCCCCTTTCAGTTCACACTTTTAGGCATAAGAATGTAAGAACAGTGGTATGTTGAGCAATACGCCTGAAGCCAGCACAAAACATTTTGCTGCCTGAGGCAGAGCAGTAAATCAAGGTGCAAAATATCTGAGGCTGGTTGAGATTGTTTTTTAGCATCTTAGGTAGAAAGTCCCACAAGCACATCCTTCTCTTCCCTTCCTGGCTGTAAAAATGCAACAACCGTGTATCAAATGACAAACAGCTCGTTGCCCTTTTAGGGCATCCAAAACCAGCTGCCTGATTTTGGTCATTCATTGCACTCTACCTTATGGTAGGGCTAGCCCTGTGCATCTCTATGAATTATAACAAATGGATGATGTAAGGAGCCTTCCCTTGAGGCTGCCCTAGTCATTGCTCCCTGTTTTCATTTCTTATGCCATTAAACAACACTAAAGGATAAATGATGAATAATCTTGACAACAAAGGTGGGCATGGGATTTTAAGAGATGAGGCATGCTGTAGCTGTCAGCTGTCATTACTGACTTTTTGCCAGCAAGCTGCTTTGGAGATCAACTGCATTAGTTCAATGGCAGCATGAAAACTTCACAGGGAATTAAACACACTTTTGATCAGGTTACTGGGTACATATTCAACAAACATACTGAATAATATTAAAAATTCACCAACATTATTTCTCAAAAGCAATCTCCATGCGACATTGAGGTTCAAATATCTGTCACTTTTATATTTGTGTAATGCTCATGTATAGAGTCTGCACTGATTATTTCACAAAGTAATCATACTGTAATTATATATCATGCCTACATATAGGAATTAAACAGCAATTGAAAGGCACAGAAGCAAAATGTAATTATACATCTATCCTATTTTGCCTGTATGCTTGGAACTCTTTGTCAACAAATAAATACAAATGGTTTATGATTTGGCTGGCTAAACTATAGAGGAAAGCGATTAAAAAAACCCCCATTCTCCAAGTATTTAGCAATTTTAGGAAATGGGCATGAACTAAAATCTGATTTATGCTTTACATTGGAGAGTTTTACTTGCTGAGTGTATATCACTCATCTACTAAGAGAAAAATCATGTAAAATATGGTGCACATATCTGTAAATACAGAAGAACCCACACACCAATTTTAAGTGTCAAGGATGAGCATATAGATAGCTACATGGCTTTTTCTCCCTCTAGCAAAAGATCTGGCACAGATTTCTACCACTAATTTGCTCATGTTGGCTTGGAAGCTTATGAAAGCCTGTGCCTTGTTACTCATAATCTGCTTCCTCCTGCATTGTTAGGAAAACAAATGAATTTCTCTCTCTCTCCCCTACACTGGCTCATTTCAAAACTACATAATCCAGCATGCATTTATACATGACATGACCACTTAAAGTACAAAATAATCAGACTCCCCTCTACATTCTGAGTTTCACAGCAAATGCATTTTCTATGCATATTTAATGAAATATAGCATAAGTCTTTTCTATTTTAAAGATAATGCTCCCCCCCCCCGTTATTGCAGTGGAAGTCAAGTTTCATAAATAAAACCTTAATTAAAACAATATTCAGTGGAAAGACTTGGCTATGCCTTTTTATGCCCATGCTTTTCACCATCACCAGAGATTATATTTTGGCACCAGAGCATCATTCCCATTAAAGCTAGTTTGAGTGAGCCTATGACAGAGTCTACTTACATTTTTGGGGGGTGGGGAATATGCAGATTGGACAATCCTATGGGAATGGAGAAGCTGTTAGTCCTTGTTACTATCCTCTCTTCTGCAGGTGCAACAGCTATGCATGAAAAATTGCAAAGTCACTAGGAAATCAGTGGTTTCAGATAGATCTCTGCTAAAAAGAGAATTCCAGCTAGCCATCTTGCATCATTTCCTGTCTTCTAACATGGTACCTGCAAGAGAGAATGAGCAAAATCACAGGATCATAAAACGGTGGAGTTGGAAGGGACCCAAAAGGGTCTCTAATCCAATCCTCTGCATTGCTGGAATCACAGCTAAAGACAGAAATGAGGATTTTTGGATTTCATTGCACTCAAGCTTTGTCTCATGCTGAATCACACCTTGCATTGGGCACATGCTTCTGCTTGAGTCACTCATTTACCATTGAATTTTTTTCTTAAGCCTTGGGATGTCCGCTCATCCCCTCCTAAGAGATGGGTGAGGTTTGCTACCCACCTGGCTACAGGGTCAGGGCATATCCGGTTAAGTATATCCGGTGCCATGGTGCAAAGCTCCCTCTGGTGCCCCCCCCATTTCCCAGAGTTTTTTAGGGAGGATGGTGCTGCCGGCGGGGCTGGAGGAGGCGGGCAGCGGCTGGAGGGTG